CAGCAGGTCAGCGCTTTTCCCAGGTACCCAGAGGGCTGCGTTTGTTCGTTTACTTCTTGGGCTTTCCTGCCTGTAACTTTGTCCACGTGCACTGGGGCATCATTGCTGCCTCCAGTTCTTGGTGGTGAAACCATGAATGATTTCCACGAGGCTCCTAACCTGGACAGATATTTTTGGTGCTCTTATAGCTGTTACAGTCAGTAACTGTAAGTATGGGGTGTGGTGTGCAGAAGGGCATTAATGTGCAGAAGCAGCTCAGGGCTGAATCTCAAGGCCACTCGTTTTCATCATGGATATCTATATGAAGTGAAATCTCTGGGATCATGGGCAGGGACGCCTATGCCCCCCTCCCCCCCCCCCCCCCATATTTGTAAGTTCCCATTGGGTGATATGGCAACAGAGATGAGGGAGATGAGACTTGATCAGCCATGCCACACCGATTGCACCCAGCGTGTGATGGCATGTTGAGTTGTGGTGTGCTCTGTTTGCAGAACAGAACCTCCCATGGCTGGTGCTGCTGATGGCTCCAAGGAGAAGCCCATATCTGTGCAGGAGGCCTTGCCCACTGCCTCGACCACCTGCAGGTTTCTCACATCTCGTGTTTAAAGTGTAGATGGAGACAGACACAAACTTATTTAGCTTCTGCCTTGGGCTTTGGTTCCTAATTTACTGGAGGGCGTGAAAGAGGCAGCCAGTTTCTTAAAACTGACCAAAACTTTTCTTTTTCTTGATTTCAATACCAGCAGATTTGTGGAACAGATGAAGTTTTCTCCTGTATCTCCTGCAGGAAAGCAGTTCTGACTCACTACTCCTTTATTTCCTGTGGTCTTTTTGTTGAACTTCACTTACTTTTGAATTTCACTGAGTTATTTATTGAGGTAACTCTGGTCTTCATTGTGTTGCAATGTAGATCAACGCTTGTGTTGGTCCTTCAGCTGTTTGTTTTAAGTATAGAGTTTAATTTTAGCCAAATACAAATAACAGCTCAAATTTACTTCTGCAATTGCAAAATACTGGTTGCACAACTGCTGTCCTGTACTTCAGATGTCCACAAGAAAATCACTTGCCAATAATTTTTTCTATTTGTTTTGACTTAGTTCCAAAAAAAAAAAAAACCCACCCAACCCCAACACCTCAGGTCCTTTGTTATGGGCTGAAGGCAGTTTTGCTTGATGGGCCAAACCTTGCTCCTCTGTGGTGGCGCAATGCTGAGATGCATCAGACTGAATATGAAAATATCCAGAAGGTCTGCAACACTGAAACAAAACTCAACCTGGAGGAAACACCTATGAAGTGTTCGTGCCTCCATTTGCAAATGGAGCAAGTTCTGCAAATCAGTGAGAAATTAGATTAGCATAAATCAAGGCTAAGCGTAAGTGTAAAACTAAGCATAAACTGAGTGTAGCTTTAAATACGCTGCTTACCCAACTGCTTCAGCAGAGAAGTGTTTTGCAATATGGTTCTCCTCATCTTGAAACAACTGTTGGGAAACATTGGTGAGTTTTTTCTTTTGCAGAGGCATAGAATGCTGCCACGTGGTCACCTGATGTTGTCCACCTCCAGGGATGATCCTACAGTCTCTAACGGGACTGCAGGGACTTCTGACGGTGCATCTCATAGCGCTGAGTGTGCTGCTGAAAGGAAAGTTGTTCAGCTGAAGCTGTACTTTTTTGCAGGCTCTCTGCCTCCACAAAACCATCTGGTACTTTGCCAGGTCTCTCACACAGTGACCAAGAACTGTTCAGCAATTCATGTAAAGAATTTGCACTGAGAACTGCTTCAAAGATGGTAAAATACAGTCATTGTCAGGGTGCTACAGCGGCTCTGTGTGCATCCTAGAAACTGATACTTTTCCCTTACTGTAAATAGTTGAGTAGACAAGAACAGTAGTATAAATCAGTTAATGCAGTGAAGTTTTGCAGCCTCTCTTTCTTTCAAGAAGGCTGTTGTGTCAGATGCCAGACATCCTCCTCCTCCAGAAAAGTTTCTGTAACTCTGAGATGTCCCCTGGAGTCACTGCTGACACAGGTATGAGTTAGAGAACACTCAGCCTTCAGAGTTTGAGATGCAATTGTTTCAGTAATAAAAAAAAAAACCAACACCTTATTTAAAACAAGTGCTAGAGACTGAGGGCTTTGCCTGGCTTGTTTTTTTCCTTCTCTATAAACAGAAAAATCAATGGTCTTTGTTCTTTTCATTGGAGGAGGGGTGGGGAATTGTACGTTTTTCTCGCATGGGAGGGCTAATGGGATAATCTGGTCCACAGCACAATTTCAGCTGTGAGGGAGGCATCCCCATTTGATCTTTGCTAATGTAAATCTTCCATCTAGCCTTGCATGACACTGCTGGTGTGGAAAGTTCCAGGTTTGTAGCACTTCTGATCCATAGCTTTTCTGAGCATCTGTGAAAATCCATACTGCGCTATTTGAGCATGGTCAAAACAGGGGTATGATTTGGAAGACCTGGTGTTTTGACTTCCAAAGGGCTGTAGGAGTTGTAGCACAGCAATGGTTTGGTTGCACTGCTGTGATGGCTGCTGACAGGTACTGCCGCCTTTTGAAGTTACCACTTAGGCACCAACACAGAGAAAACAGAACAATGTGTGCGTGGAAAATTTAAGGTTAGGTGTTTTTTTCCTTGGCTTCAGGCCAGCAAGATCTGAAAATCTTCACTCTGGCTTCACATCTTTCCCAGAAATCATTTGTGTCCCGAGATCCTCGGGAGTGAGAGCAGATAGGACTGAGCTTGAGAGGCCCCTTCTATTCTTAGCTGTTCTGTGATTCATTGGGCATCCTTATCTTTGATCTTACAAAGATTTTGTCAGTCTGCCTCCTTTCCTTCTCTGCACTGCTGGGAAAACCTGAATATTTGGACCCAGGCTTCTTTTCAGGGACAATGACCAACGTTGTGCAACGACTCTTCTGCTTAGCAGCCATGGAAGAGCACGCTGTTGTTCTGCACGTCGTCCCACTTATGCTGGCTATCGGGCCGCAGCTTTTGAGTGTGCTGGGAGACAGCACGGACACTGCTCCTTGCTTTCCAAGGGCCTTCAGCTTGAAATTCCCATACTGGAATGTCTCCTAGGTCGCTTTCCAAAAGCATCATTTGCAGTCCTGGAACATTCACAGCCAGAAGCTCTCTTCTTTCTTCTAGAATTGGTTTCTTCACTTTTGGTAACTGCAAATTGTATCTAAAACATTGGAGCCAGAGATGTGCTTCGAACTTTCTTTCCTTTATGATTTCTTGACAGCATATTGGTGCTTTCTTCCCACTGCTCTTGCCCACCCTTGGCTCCAAGCAAGGATGTGCTTTTGCTAGCAGACCGTTTTTTCAGTTTAGCCAATATCAGAACTGACTCTATGTTTTGCAGTCTGCACTTCTTTCTTGATTCAGGACTTACAGTCTGTTCTTTTGCAATGTGGTAATGAGATCTGGGATAATAATGTCAAGCTGTATCTAAACAATTGGATTAAAGGAAGCCCTTGGAAGAGGACAAAGGTTGATGTAACATTGGATCACGTGGCCAATTGCGAGCCAATTCCCTGGGGACAAAGTTTTCACTCCTGGCAGGGCTTAGCAGCAAGCTTTCAGCTTCTTTCATCATCAGCATTTTGCATCCAATGTTTTAAAATGTTTGGAAAATACAGCTTAATGGAGATTGAAGGTGTTATCATTAATTGGACTAACTTAAAAAATTAATATTGAAAAGCTCTTTTAGTTTTGTTGTTATTGACCTGATGCTGAGAACAGCCTGTGCTATTCTAGAGGAGAGGAGAAGATGATGTATTTTGCTTTGGATGTTTGTGCTTTGTTTTCCAAATTTTGGGAGGACGGAAGAGATTGCATTAATAGACAAAACTGAGGAAAAATACTGGGAATAAAATGGGGAAAGATTCTGTAATTCTGTAGCTGCTACTAACAAACAAACAAAAATGTCTGAGTGCAAATAGAAAATATTTCCTAAGCTGTTTCTTCATGTTGACCTGCCTTTGTTGCTTGTTTCCTCACAGACACAGCTGTGTAAGGTCTGTAGTCAACCCACAGGTGTTGGTAACAGCACTGTCAGGCCCCTCTGCCTCCACCCCGTGTTTGAAGTGTTTTCTGTGCCATTAATGCTGCAGAAGCTCTGCTCGTTGTTACAATTGTAATGCTTGCCTTTCAGAACAAGACCGTGGTAATGGCAAGTGAGAACGGACATCTGTTTGTCAAATTTAAAGTCAGGGAAAGTTTGAAAGTTGGGCAGACCTCTGCTTCTCTTTAGTGAGATTTTCTTTCTAACCACAGCTAATTACATTTAGAAAGCAACTACCGTACTGGTTGGTATTGCAACTGCTTGCTTTGACCTCAAAACAGTAACTTTTGTTCTTGCCTTTCTCTCTCACTTTTCTCCTTGCAAAATTAACATTAGGTAAGAGTGAGGTAGATTCTTTCATAGCTTATTCATTAGCAGCAGCAATGTTGTTAATTGCATTTTGATTGCAGAGACTGCATTACAAGTGGCCAGAAAACACTGGATTTGTTTCAGAATTTCATAGGTAGAAGGCGAGAAAATCCTCTTTGTGTTTGTAGGTGAAGCAAATTTACTCTGGAGATCCTTGAGGCAAAATGAACCACAGCTGTGATGTTTTTCATTGCAGCATTGATTTCAATGTACAAATCTTATTGAGGGGAAATAACACAGGCGCTTCTTGGAGGACTCCATTCTCTATTTTTGGCACGCATCTCTCAGCTTTGCTTGCTGATTTTTTTGGTTTTATTTACATTCGTCTTTGACTAAACTTCTCTAAAATAAAAACATAAAAAGATGTATCTCTCAGGAGGAGCCCTTAACTAATTCTCGGTGCCTTCTTGCACATCAGCACTGCCGGTTTGAAGCCTGGTGAAGCCTCCAAACCATCCCTGATCCGTGCTCAGCTGCAATGGAGATGCACAACTTGATATTCATCTGAATTGCTGAATCTGCACTGCATTTCTTTCATGTTCTTTCGTTCTTTTTCAAGCGCATATCGGATTCATGTCAGTCCCTTGGCTGTGTTCAGCACTGGAAGTGTTTCTGATGACCAAATTTTTCTCCCGGTGTCCATATCGAACTCCCTCCGGTCTCCTTTGTGATTTCCTCTGAAGAAGTCAGTTTACACATGTTCCTTTGGGCTTTTTGCATCAACACTTGGTAAGTACTGTGTGTTGATAAAACATGTTGGCACATTCTTGAAGAATCCCTGAAAGCACACTGCACACATTTCATTGTATAGAAATGGACAAACCACGCTTAAGATGATCTTAAGCAGTGCAGACCCTTCCCAGCCCTGATTTCATTGGAATTTAGTGAACGCTTAAATGTCTGATGAGGAATTTGAGATGGAAGATGTGACGATGACTTTTTATCCAAGTTTAAGGTTAAGTGCTGGTATTCATCTTGTCCTTGGTAATCAAAATGATTTTTTTTTCTCTTCCAAGTTTGTATTGGTAGGATCCTTTGGGTAATTTCTCAGAAGAATAAAATGAAGGTAGAACATTACAATTAATCTACTTTGGAATATTTGCAAAGGATGAGTGAAAAGGGAGGAAACTGCAGCTCTTCGCAAGTAATGTGGGGTTTGAGCAGAGGAAAAGCGCCTCTGGATTTGTTTTGAATATGAACAATTCTTGAATTCACTGTGCTGAATGTTCCAATGCATTTTTAGGAATGCAGCAACTACTGAAACAGAATTAGGTGCAAGAAATAATTTAAAAGGAAACAAATGCTAATATAAAGAAAACAGGTGTGGCAGAAATGCTGAGCCACAGCCTGAAGCAGTGATGGAGCACCTGGTGGGGAGGCGGGGGAGCTCAGGTGCGTGCAATGTACCCAAGTGATGGAAGGGCTGGAGCCAGGATCCACCTCTTCCCAGACCTCATTTAAGGGCTGGCAGTGGAGGCGTGGGTATTTCCCTGGAGATCCCTGTGTGCTTGAAGCCTTCTCAAGGTAGGCAGTTTTTCTTCCTTTGTGGCTGTGGCTGCTGTGTTTGGCCTTGTTCTCGTTTGCTGTAGTGTAGGATTGCGCCACTCTGCTGTTTCTGCTGTGCTTTCCATCACGTTGTAACCTTACAGCATTGCAACAGGCAGGAAATGTCGTAAGCACGTTACAGCTGTTTTGTTTGATGCAAGGAGGTAGAGTAACTTAGGTTGGAACAGACCTTCAACCTGACCTACTGAGTCCCATTACTAAACCACATCCCCTAGTGCTACAGCCAATCTCTTCAGTCTGTCCTGGGATGGGGACTCCGCTTTCCTGGGCAGCCTGTTCCGATGCTTCCTAAACAGCTGCGCCCTGGCAGAATGTGAGGTGGTTCTATTGTTTCCTTTTGCTTACCAGGTGAGAAAAGAGACTGACATCCACCTCCCTACAGCCTCGTTTCAGGTAGTTAAACAGAGTGGCGGGCTCTGGCCCTCAGCCTTCTCTTCCAGACTAAGCCCAGTTCCCTTAGTCACCCTTCATAGGTCTTGTTTTATAGCTTCTTTACTGATTTTGTTTCTCTTCTCTGCATTTGATTGAGCATCTCAGTAATCCTTATTGTAGCGAGGGGGATGTAGGACAGGAGAAGTGATTGATGTAGCTCCAAGATTTGATGGTACAAAGGGACATTTACTTGCAACCATGCCAGGAATTAGGGCAAAAACCAGAATATTCAGGTTTATAGTGTAGAGGAGAGGGGCAGTAATAAAAATAAATAAATAAAAAAGTTCTTCAGAAAGCCAAAAAGAAAGAAGAAATGGCTTATATATTTGAGTGGGGAAAAGAGACAGAGTAACAAACCAGGAAAGAGTCAACTGGTAAGCTAAATTGGGTGAGCTATTAAATGATTTTGTAAATGTACCTACAAAGTGTAAATGGTATTAGTTCTTGCATTCGAGATGACAAAAGTGAATTCAGGTATCGCTGAGCAATGTGAAGACAGAAAATGTGTAAGGTTGATAACTACCAGTATAAGTAGCCATGTGGGGAAAATCTGCAGGTTAAGGAAAAAAAGCCAATATAAAGGAAAAAATGATGGAGTACTTGGTGTGAGATTAGTAAAAATGGAACCCTGCAATATCATTTCTAGAATCATTTTTTCTGAGTAAAGATGCTTTTAAGGGCTGGAAGTAATGATTTATGAAGAAATGTGGAAATAATTAGATAAGTTTATCTTGGCGAAATAAATGAAGAGTGTTACACTTGTCCACAAGCATTTGAGGAGCATAAACAGAAACCATGGAGAAGAGTTGCTTGGGACAAGGCCTAAATAATGCCAATAAAATGTGTTGTGATCATGATACAAGAAGGAAAATGTGTCTCAGGTATCAGGTAATGTCCTCCTTTATTGAGATTTATTAGGCACACCATGACAGGAGTACGAAGTAAATGGTGAAAAGTCCATTCACTGAGTCAACTGAAATTGCATTACAGCATGTAGAACAGATCAGCCCTGAAAAAGAGACTGCAATATGCCTGATGTTTCACACTATGGTGAAACCGCAGCACAATGAAAATTTGTTGTAGTTTTATCTTGACTTCATTAATGCCCAGGTTCTGTCTTGGTGTGAGAATTCAGATTGCGGTCCCTGAGTCCCTCAGTGAGTGTGCCTTTGTTACACTGACCAGCTGAGAACCACCAGAGCTCTCAGATGAGGTTGTGTGTGAATCCCGTGGCACAAATTCTACGCCCATCTGCTTGTCCTTCCAGTTACTGTCCCCAGAACCAACCTGAGGAGAAATTGGGGCAGGATGATCTCGATGCTATTTCGCCTTGTAGTTCCCAGTTACTTTCTCAGAGACCTCCCAGATTCTGAGTCTTTCTTCAGAAGCCCAAGTGTTGAGTCTGGGTGCCTGGCACAGCTTCAGAAAACTCTGGCTCTGATTGTCTAGTGATAAAGCCTAAGTGGTAGACTTGGAATCGGTCCCATTCTTTTTCACCTTCAGCAACTTGCTTTCAGGAGTCAGTTGCTGCCAGAGCTGAAACAGACTGATGGTTTGGCATCTAGCACCAAGTGTTTCTTTGGCTCGATTCCATATCTTATATCATGCTCAGCACAAAAGAACTGAGTATTTATTGAGCCTCTCTCTCCACAGCTGGCTTCACCGCAGCTCTTGGGTCAGTAGTATTGTCATGACAGCAGGTTTTATTTAGATTTTATCAGAGAACGTGGCTACAGATGCATTTCCCTGGATCCCTGTGCTCACTAGTACCAGCAAAGAATTTCTTTTTACCATTCCTGGAGGCAACTCCTCCATGATTCTCGAAGGAGTTTCATCTCCACAAGGAAATGAGCCTGGAACAGTACATGCCCTGATACAGACCTCAGTAGGAACATTGGTGCTGCTGCTTTGTGCTGCAGTGGTTGTAACGTACCTTCCGTTGTCTGTAATGGTGCTTATTTTTTCAGTGGTCTCTCTCTGCATGCTCTTCTGGAGAAGATGCAGTTGTTTTATCTTAGGTATCTCAGACCAAACAGCGCTTCCAAATGCAGCCGAAGTGAGCAGAAAGTTGTGAGTCTCATTAAAACTTTCTGGCAGTGCCCAGGCCAGCATCCTTGTATGAGAATACTGGGAATAGGTGAAGTACAACAGCTAGTTGACAAGGACTTTAAATTCCAGTTGACTTTTGCAGTGCAATTGTACATACGGTTGAGGCAATCTAGAGCTTCCACCAAAGATCCTGTGACGAAGTGCTGTGAAGCAAAAGGTTTTGATAATCTCACTCTATTTCTATCACAAAGTGTGGATGTCATCATCAATATTTTCTCTCCATGACTTGGATCCTTAGAAGATCTCCATGGACCGTTCTCAAGCAGCCCCCTTACCTCTAGCACTGCTACCTATGGAAGTCCCATCTTGGCTCAGGTGTTCGGGGACACAGTCTGTTGTGACAGATCCCACTTTCGATTGGCTTTCTCAGCAAGGCCTGGGGTGAGATGACAGGTTACTTTTTTAAGGTTTCCCAAACCACATCGGAGACTTGAGGATGTTCCTGACTGCCCTCCAGAGCGAGCTGCATGAGGCAGGTCTGAGCAGATGCCTTGTTGTCCTCCAGGGGTGGCACAGAGTATCTACTTACCTTGCCAGCTCACACTAGGATGGGTTAAATGCTTTGGGCTGCCGCAGCAATGTGAGTGCCCCGTCAAGGACAACAATAAGCATCCTTGGGAAGATGAGTTGTTGAAAGCTCTAAGTCCAAAAACCATTTCACTGTGCTCTGTTTCTGCAAAGAAGGGAATGCTGCTCGCGAGCAGCTCAGTCTTAGAACTGGTCTGAGTGTTTGGGCAACTGCAACATCCAGCTCCAGCAAAGGGGACAAAATGCAGGTAGCACTTCATCCCACGGCTGGTGCTGTGTTTTTGGCCATAGATGGCAGCTGCAGCCATATTCTGTTTGTGCAGAATGTTAATTTACAAGCCCGAAGTGTGGCTTCATGCTTGTGGCTCTGGGCTCCAACAGGTTTGTTTGGAGTGACATTGCCATGGGTCTGGTCAGCACGTGGCCTAATAGGGGATGGAATGTACTGAATAATAAGAAGTTATACCAATTTTTAAACCATCAGATCTCTGATTGGCATACGTAATCTGATATTTCTCTGAGGCTAATAACATAGCCAGATGTAGGCAGCTGTTTTTGCACAGAGCAAATGGAGCATACCTGTTGCCAAAGCTGTATGCTGTCAAATTTCAAGCTTTCATTCCCAATTAAGATGCTAAGGCTTTCCTTACCTGTGATAAGTCATTAAAAATCGTTCAATTACTCTCATTTTAAGCCCCTCCCCCCCGTTGTATTTTTTTTTTTTTTTTTTTAACTCAAGCTTACTTTACTGAAAGGCATCCTGTCTTGATTTGAAGATGTTAAAAGATGAAGAATCCTCCTTCCTTTGATAGGGTAGCTTTTTTAATATCTAATCATTCTCACTATAAAACTCTGTGCCTTATGTCTAATTTAAACTGGTCTGGCTTGAGCTTCTAGCAATTGGTTCTTGTTATGCCTTTCTCAGCTAGATTAAAGAGCCCTTTAGGACCTGGTATTTTCTCCCTTTGAAGGTACTTATACATCGTAATCAAGCCATCTCTTGATCTTTTTAATAAACTAAACAGATTGAGCTCCTTAAGTCTCTCATTCTGAGGCAGTTATTCCAGTTCTGAAATAATTTTTATGACTCTTCT